GGCCCCCAAAAATTTACCCAGTCTCCTAAAGAAAAAAAAAAAAAAAAAAAAAAAAAAAAAGCAACAAGAACACAAGAAAATGTTTAAAGAAAAAAAAAAGCCTCTCATTCGGGTAAAACATGTTCAGTTTTCTCTGCTAAGATCCAAACAACATTTTACTGTAATTTTGTTCAGTTGGTCTGGATGTGGAGACTGTCTTTCTCTCATCCTGCACGCCTCTTCAGTTCTGTCCACAATTTTTTTTTTCTTATTAATTTTGAACTGAAACCTTGATTCTGAAATGAATCTGTTTCAAAGACTCGTTCATACTAGAGCATTGACTTCCTCTCTGCTGCTGTTTCAATATTTCAGCATAATATTATTTTCTGATGGTGGCAATGAGATTAGAGCGGTTTCAGGGCTTTAATATCATAATTGGTAGAAAACATTACGTAAAAAGCAATAAATAAAGAAAAATATTTTAAGGTGCATATTTAAAATGGTTTGCTAGGAGTACTGGAGGTAGCACATTGTATTGTTGTAAACGTTTTAAATGCGTCAATAGTTATAAGAGGACATTTGGGCTAACCTAGAACCACGATACGTCTTTGAATGCACAACGTTGTAAGTAAGGATCAAAAAAAGATGTTTGCCGTGGTCGTTTTGTTTAGTCGAACCAGTTTCCTCGCTCTTTGTGAAATGAACCGTGTGCGCTCTTTTCTTCAAACACCAATTCAACGCTTTCGGGGACGTGAGACGAAAAGTCAGGCTCTTTTAGCTTTCGAGGGACGGAGTGAATGAAGGGATCGTCCTGTTCTATCTGCTCTCTAAAGTGGAGAGCATCGTGAGGCCGAACAAAAGCCTCGCGTTTGCATCTTACGAGTCCTTTCACACATGCTCCACGTTGCCGAAAGTAAAGCTAAAAATAGTGGCCAAGATGCCGTTTGAAAGCCCCCCTGTGACAAAGATGCATAGTGGGCCTGCAGTGAGCTCATTGTTAAAGGTCCCACTAGTAATTATTACTGTTAGACTGTAGAGGAACAATAAGCAAAGCTGGGTCTGTTTTATTTTTTTCACCTAAAGTACAGTTCTGTTAGTGGTTCACATATTCGTATTATTAGCATTAATAAAACAACTTTTGGTTTTAAATAATACATCTAAACAGTTATTTTTCCAAACTAAAAGGCATATCCAAACCTTTATGTTCCCAAATTAAGTTTGTACACATATTGCTTTTGTGCTCAAATTTTACTAAGAAAATTTTGAAAGCAAGAGCAGAGAGAGAAAGAAAATTTAAAAAAATCCATGTTTCATTAGCATAATTACCAATGATTATGACAGAGATTCAAAATTCATACTTACTACGAGTTATTTGAGCTTTCCTTGCCCAGATTTTGTTTTGTTCAAAACGATCCCCTCTGGCTCGAATAATGCAGACTTTGTTTTTGTTTTTACTCTTGCACAAAGGTTGTGACTCTCAGCCCTAAAGCCAAGTCATTGTTTTCCCTTGTAAACATTTCTTCAGCAGAAGTCTGGAAACATTAAGGCTGGCCCAAAGGTAAACTGAGGAAAATGGTGTATATCGGTGACCATTAAATGAATGTATCCCAAAATTCATAGAAGTTGTGCTTTTTATGGCATTGTGAACTGAAATTTGAAGTTCCTTCCAAATGCTTGGCTTGTAATAAACTTCTTAATACAGTTTAGAGGATACGTTGCATTATGACTAAAGACACTAAATATTTTTTCACTGGCAAAAGCGTTTTTTTATTTTTATTTCTATAGATATCTGATTGAAATTAAAAGTCGTTTCAGAACATGCTATAGCGCAGCACAAGGGAGGAAAAAGTAATCTTTCACTTACATAAAAAAAAATTCCCATTGCTTTTAAGATGGTCAATCAATGATTAGCTTTGGATTCGGTTAAATTGAAGGGGTATTTCACTACTTTTTATCTGCCTTTAATTAAATATTTATACTTAAACCTAACCTGGATCATTCTAAACACTGAACACTGATATTCAAATACAGAAAGAAGTCACTGAAGTGACTCACTTTACAGTCACACCACTCCTGGCTCTGACTACAAATCTTCTGTAAAGAAGTTGCAGTCAGTGCTCGACAAAACGCCATTTCTATTAGTTGTGTGTTTTTATTTTTATTATTATTATTATTATTAGAATCCTTTGTCTTGTTATGATCCTGTGACGATGCCGTCGGCTACCACTGCTGAATTATTACTTCCGTAAACAGAGCGCTGCTGGGTGACGTCAACGTTCTTCATCTGCGCATGCGGGTAGCTTTGGGGTTTTAAAACGTTCACGGAGAAGTCTGATTGCGGTCTCATTTAATTAATGACCACAAAACAACAACAACAACAACAACAACAACAACAACAACAACAAAACTGAAGGAATAGAACTGAGTATCAAGACCTGCTGTGTGCACACAGCCTTATTCTGTTCTGCAGTTTTCCAGGCCCACATTTGAGTCAAAAAACTGTTTGGGAACCAAGTAGCTGGTTTTCCAAACCCAAATAATTTCATAATGGTTTGTTATAGTCGGTCATTAAAGGGAGTCATGACAGAAAACAGGTTAACAAGAAGCAGTGGCGCGCAGCTGTTAGCGCTGACGCTTAAGTTCCCAATGTAAGCTGCCCGTCAATTACATCATCATGCGATGACATCATCTCCCACCGGGACTGGTGACACATGGTTGGTCCGGTGAAGTGGCTGAACCGCTCTGCCTACGACACAATGAGGTGAACTGTGGAGCCATTGTGACAAAGTAAAGATGTCGATCTCATCTGCTTTCGCTCTGCTGTTCTCTGCTCTTGCATTTCAGCGCGTGACAGCAGAGTTCAGCGAGAGTTAGCGGGCCCGCGCGCGCGCGCCGCGGTGTTGCACCGCGCCCTGGAAGCACACTGCACTCCTGTGATTTACTGCAAGCAATAAAACGCAAATATGGCCGAGAGAGTAAGGTCAGCTTTGATCATGCGTTTCACATTACTCTTAATGTTGGGTTTCACTCGCTTGAGCATGTGGGATTCAAACCATTACTGTAGTGCAGAGGAAGCTAACGGAGCCCCCAAACATAATCAGTGATGGCAAATGAAAATTAAAGCATATAATTAACCTGATAGCAATGTACGTTTTTCAGGCTAATTTAATTTAATGCACTTTATTTTGGGGGAGGGGAACATGTCTGTTTAAAGAGCTGTAGAGATCAATCTGGTCTCTACAGACAGCTCTTTGACCTCATTAGCTAACAAGCTTTTTTTTATTATTATTTTACTTGTAAACAGTTGATATCAAGTAATCTCTGTATCCATAGTACCACCAGTGTTACTTGAGAACCATGGTGGAATAACATTTCACAGAGAGAGGGGTCCTTTGCTTTCTTCTCTTCATCTCCTGAGTTCGCTAAAGGATTCATTTCAATGATTTTGCATTTAGTGAATCATTTTTGTTTTGATTTGGCCTCGTTTTAGCCATTATCCGGCTAAAAGAGTCAGCGATTAACTATTTTAGGTTTTGATGGGGTTTTTTTTTTTTGTTAGTTTTTTTTTTAAGCCTCCCAGAACTTTTGGAAGATAAGACGGCCCAAAGCATCACAAGTTCTCCACCAAGCCTAATAGCCAACATGAGGTGCTTTATATATTCATTTGCTAACATTAGCAAGCTCCATTCGCTAGTTTAGGAGGGAAAATTTTCTTTTTCAGACGCCACCCTCAAACAGTCGGTTAGTATATAGTATCTAGTGACTGGTAGGAACGTTTGGTTATCCTACCATTTTGCTCTTTGCTGCAGATTTCAAAAGTGAGTTTTGGAAATGTACATTTTTACCAACATCATCACCCCCCTCACTGTGTTTGGTGGCAAAACAAACGTGGATCCTCTTTCGTCCCAGTGGCCTCCACCCCATGTCAGGTTTATACCTAAAAGGAGCAGAAAGTTGTTTTTTTCCGCCTGCCTTAAAAATGTATGAAATCAGTTCAAAAGTTTCAATTTTGCAATGAGTTTATGCTACTGTATGTGTATTTCAAACACGTTTTAGGTTGCTTAGGCTGATTAAAAAGTGCAATCTTTCTCGTCCTTCCTTTTAGTTTTGGTTGGAGTTTGCACAGACAATGATTTGATAAGAGGCGCCAACAAAACCAGTAAACCAATCAATCAAATCAAATTTTATTTGTATAGCACATTTCAGCAGCAAGGCATTTCAAAGTGCTTTACATAATTAAAATAAAAACAGCATGAGACATTGAATAAGGAGTGAGAAAGAGATTAAAAAAAAAGATTAAAAAAAGAAAAACATTAAAACCTGCACCC